ATTTTATTTATTTATTTGAGAGAGAGAGAATGAGAGACAGAGGGCATGAGAGGGAGGAGGGTCAGAGGGAGAAGCAGACTCCCTGCCGAGCAGGGAGCCCAATGCGGGACTCGACCCTGGGACTCCAGGATCATGACCTGAGCCGAAGGCAGTCGCTTAACCAACTGAGCCACCCAGGCGCCCTAATTTCCAGGTTTTAAAATTGTATTCTGTTGGAAGATGTCTTCCACCAGTGTTTTACTCCGGCATTACTAGAAGCTGGAAGTCCTATCTGTGCAGATTTACTTGCTATTTTTCTTATTATGAGGAAAATTATATTTTCATATAATTAAGGGACATTTTTATAATTTTTGCGGGGTGAATTGTCCATGTCTTTTGCCAATTTTTCTACATCATTTTTGTCTTCTCAACTGTTAAAACTACTAACTGGTTATTATTTCTGTATGTGGATGTAATTGAGTTTTGCTTATTTTATATCTTGCTAGCTTGTGAATTTTTTATTGAGTTAGTTTTTGATAGTGATTCTTAAGCATTTAATTATGAAAGATTTTTTTCATTTCCCTGAAGCTTTGAACTTAAAGGATGGAAAAAGGGTGATAGATTATGGATATCTTATTCCATTGGGGCTGCTATAACAAAAATACCATAAACTGGTTGGCTTAAACAAAAAACATTTATTTCTCACAGTTCTGGATCTGGGAAGTACAAGATTGAGGCACAGGCAGATCTGCTGTTGGATGATGGCCTGCTTCCTGGCTTGTAGACAGCTGCCTATTCGTTATGTCCTCACATGGGAGAGAAAGATTATTTCTCTCATGTTTCTTCTTTATAAGGATGCTAATCGCTTTCATAGGGGCTTCACCCTTATAACCCAGTTACCTTCCAAAGGCCCTTAACCTCCACATATTGTCCCCATCAGGGATTAGGGCTTCAGCATATGAATTTTGGGGGACACAAATAATGAGTGTAGATGAGGAGAGCATGAAGGGCTAATTGTGGAGGGGGGTAATGTTTACAGAAGAGCATATAAAGTATAAACATCTAAAGGTTTTACATTATTTTTTCTTACTGGGTCTTCAAAACCTTTTGTGTATTTTGTCCTTAATACTACATATAGATTTGGACTAGTCACAGTTCAACTACTCAATAGCTGCCTTTGCTAGTGGCTACTGTATTGGACCGTGCAAGTTCCAGAAGACCTAAAATAATAATTATGATGGCCGGGGCACCTGGTGGCTCAGTCGGTTAAGTGTCTGCCTTTGGCTCAGGTCATTATCCCGGAGTGCTGGGATCGAGTCCCACATCGGGCTCCCTGATCAGTGGGGAGTCTGCTTCTCCCTCTCCCTCTACTCTTCGCCCCGCTGTGCACTCTCTCTCTCTCTCAAATAAATAAGTAAAATCTTAAAAAATAAATAAATAGTTATGGTGGTTAACTTAATTGTCAACATATGGTCTAAGCAGTGTCCTTAAGTAAAGGTTTTATTTTATTTTTTTAAAGATTTATTTATTTGAGAGAGAGAAAACATGAGCAGGAGGGGCAGAGGGAGGGGGAGAAAGAATCTCAAGCAGAGTCCACACTGAGCTTGGAGCCTGACGTGGGGCTCAAGCTCACAACCCTGAGATCACGACCTGAGCTGAAACTAAGAGTTGGATGCTTAACTGACTGCACCACCCAGGTGCCTCCTTAAGTAAGGGTTTTTTGGGTTTTTTTTTTTTAAGATTTATTTATTTGTCAGAGAGAGCGAGAGAGCACAAGCAGGGGGAGCGGCAGGCAGAGGGAGAAGCGGGCTCCTTTGTCTAGCAAGGAGCCCGATGCAGGACTCGATCCCAGGACCCTGGGATCATGACCTGAATCGAAGGCAGATGCCCAACCGACTAAGCCACCCAGGCGTCCCTTAAGTAAAGGTTTTAAAGGAATAATCTAGTCCTTACAACAGTGTAGTGAGAATAGGTTCTATAAAGATGCTTTTGACTAGAAGTAAAAGAAAACCCAACTTAAACTACCTTAAATAAGAACATTGTAATTAACTGGAATTCCAAAGGTAGTAGGGGCTTCAGGGTTGGTTTCATTCAGAGCTCTAGCTCCATTTCTTTGCTAACTTCTGTCAGGTACTTTAGTTCAGGCTAATAGCAAAATGGCTGCAGTTTTGAACCTCAGGTGCATATACAACATGCAGAGGAAGGAACAGCAGTCTTTTCCTATGACTTTCTTTTAAGAGCAAGAAAACTTTGTCTTTATTTTATTTATTTTATTTTTTTAAAGATTTTATTTATTTATTTGACAGAGACACAGCGAGAG